TCCTCTTCTCTACATCATTCTTTTTTTTTTTGGATGGATGACTATGCTTCTTGTTAATTTCATGTTCACTCATTGATTTGTAACTATGTATATTTTTCTTTTTTTCTGCTATGGCCAAATCAAAAACAAAGAGTTCATGAATATTAATAGCACCATAATAACTGTACAGGCTAACCTCTCTTGAGTATTTACTGTGTTCCGGGGAATATGCTAAACTCTTTCCATGGATGAACTCATTCAGTCCTTACAATTGAAGGCTGTTACCTTCTCAAGTAGATGTTATGAGAAGGTCTGTGCTCTACATGAGAAAACTGGATAGAGAGGATAAGAAGCTTACCTAATAACATATAGTAAGTGTGGCAGGATATTGAGGTTGATTACAAAATATTTTTCTTCTCAATATCCTTGGAAAGTAGAAGTTTCCTTGGACACCCCTTAGTTGGCATTAATTACTCTTTCCTTCATTCACACTTAGAAATTTGTGTAAAATTTTGTTATTTACCCAATTTTGTTTTACATACAATGATTTGTGTATATGACTAGATTATGGATATATACAACTAATCTATTGTTTTGTTGCCCTGATGGTTCATGCGATAACTGACTGATAGCAGACACATTCTTAATGCATGATAATGAAACATCAAAGACATGTTTACAGGGATGAAGACAAGTTCAGAGAGTCTTTTTGGATTTCTCAGAAAAGGAACCATAATTTTAAACAGTACCTATTTAATCAGGTTACTTAAATGATTTAGCACCATTTGTAAAAGGGATTTTAGCAAATCTTCTAGAAGTCACTGAGAAACAGCTGCACACATAGTTTCTTATAACACACATGAGAAAACATTATTTCATTAGAATCACGCATTCCTCAGTGGTTTCAGTGATCTTTACTTCCTGGTTAGAAGGTCAAGTTCTTCCTTTCAATTACATGGAGTTTGGTTAAGTACAACTGTACAGACAAATCAAATATTTGAGGTGTCCCTATCATTAATCATGGAGAAAATTCAATCCACAAAGATAATAACCAGATAAGTCATTTTTTAAAACTGCTATTGGAAATAGGCAACTAAGGTCCAAAACTGCAATTTGGGAAGTCAGAATATTTGTGTGTTAATATCTTCTTAAGAAAGCCATTCCTCTATCTCATTTACATGGAAGGTACAATTTTTATCACAAATAAAGAAATGTAGGTAGCATCCTATAAAATGTCATGTGTGGCAGACACTGTGCACAGGACTTAGGAAACAAACTCATATTGTCTCAAACTACTTCAGAAGGGTTAAGGTAAGACTGCTTCTTGCATCAAATTTATTTGGGTAGAAATATTTGTTGTGTGTTCTCATTGTGTTTATTGTGATTCTTGTCCTTTATTCTACAAATCAAGTTGATCTTGAGGTTAGTTTAATTCATGGAACAAATAGTCTGGGGCATCTTCAATATATAGTATCATCTAAAAAGATTCCAAAATAAACATGTAGTGTGACTGCTGATCAGAGGGCCCAGGAGAGACCTCTAAGGTGACTCCTGTTGGGAGGACTATAACCGATCATCTGCTCAAAGTTCTTGCTTCACGGAAAACCACCAGAAGTCAGTAGACCTTCACTCCTCCCCTGCCATGTCTCTCTCCCTATTAAGTCATTTAAAAGTTAACAATCCAAAGGCATCGAGAGTATAACCACAGCATAAAGGAACAGAGGTTCAGCAGAATAAAGCACAAGCCTTCTCCAGCACTCCATGGGTTCCTTTTCACCAAGAACTTCTAAAGAATTTTTCACCCTACCATTACTTTCAATACCTATACTACTTCTTTCTGAAGTGAATTACTGACTATCTTGGAATAGCAATTTAATGCTATACAACAAGGCTATCTTAAAAGTACAGTCATTCTTCTCCAAAGCTATTAAACCAACATGTTTGCTTTCTTTGACCACATTTATTTGTGTACAGTTTAAATGAGTTTCTGTATTAGTTACATTATTCATATCATTAACTTGATTTTTTTTGTAATTTATATGCACTTTCTAAACAGGAGAGACCATATGCCAGGAAATTAAACAGCTCTTTTTCTTTGCTTTTTAAAACTCTATGGGGTTTACCAGTAAAACAGAGAAAAATACTTGGCTTTTGTGTAAAGTGAACATTTCGTTTTCTTTCAGGACAAATACATTAAGTCTGAATGGGGGCCATTGATGTTCGCTGTGATTAAATTATGGGATTTTGTGCTTCAGCATCTAAAGTTGCTTCAGAAAAGGTGAGGAGGAGGAACAAACAAAAAGAGAAAGCTATTCAAAAATGTCTATTTAAAAGGCAGGATTATTTTCTATTCAAAAATGTCGATTTAAAAGACAGGATAGTTGCTGTGGGCTAGATACCATTAGACCTGTTCACAACACAGTCAAAAGACTACCTTTTCACCTGCAGCGTTTGTTTCAGTGAACAGGTTACTTTAAAATACAACTGAACTTCAGACCTATTGGAAATAAGGTAGCAAAGTATTAAGGCAATACAATCAGAGAACGATAGAATGAAACAAATCTCTTTTTTTTCATTAAGAGTCTCTGCTCTGTATTACCTACACTTTGGAAAGAGTTTGACAATAAAAGGCAGGTGAGATTACTCAAAGGCTATAGGAAATACTAGCAATTGCCACCCCCTGCTAATGCGTCCAGCATGATCTAAACCTGTGAAAAACCATTTGCTTCACATACACGACTACTGACTAAGAAACAAAGTTAACAGAAGTCTTTGGCGAGAAAACCCACTGTCACAGGTGGCCATGGCTGAACCACTCAGCTTTTCCCAGCAGGACAATAAGCTCATCCCTACTAACACAACTGTCCTTGCAAAGCTGCCCAGTTTAGATTCTAATCTACACTTTAACCATGTGCCTATAAGAACTGATAAATTATACAGAGAATGACCTTCTGTTAGAGATCTTTAAAACATATTCTCTTCTTTGCAAAATGACACTGATAGTATCGTATTCCTTTTCAGATTTGTTCAATATCACAGGGTACTGTGGGTATCCAGTAAAATGAATTGCTACAGAGTAATCACACTAATAAGATATGCTACTTATTATGAACATTTCATTTTTTTCAAACCCAGCATTCTCTTCCGGTAAAATTTAATAACCAGTCATAGTTTTCACATACCACAAGCATTGCAGAAGTTTCAAAACTAAAGTGAACTAGATGATTATTCCAGGTTTTGTTGTAATAAGTGTGTTAACTATTTTTAAAGAAATTTATCCCTATTGAAATCAACACTTTCATGCAAGGAAAAGATAATGGCTTTTTGACCCCGCATTAGATAATGAACATGAAAACTTTGGAAGCTAGAGACTATATAGCTTTTTCATAATTATAGTATCCTTAAAAAGCAAATGTACTTTTGGAACTCTAGCGATGTTCACAGTCTAAAATCACTGTGGGCTGGATTTTTATTGTTTAAATATTTACTATTTTATGCATATGTTGACCGGCATTGACTTAAGTGTCCAAAGTTAGAAAATTTCCTTTCTCTGGAAGACTAAATCAAAACATGAGTGAATAGCAAGAATTTAAAGAATAACTGTGATGCATAATTTGTATTGAACTGTTGAGAGCTAACCACAAATATTAAAATGGGCTCCGTATTTAGAGCAACTAATCATAATACTGGGAAACAAACTGGCTTTCTTTAAAACCATCTGCACTTCATGACTTGAAGTGACAAGCAAACCTTAGAGAAAATGAAGAATCAAGCTCACATTTCATTTTAATCTGGAAAAGTCACCTGGGCTTTGTTTGCAAGGAAAGACTAAATTTATCAATTATTGAGGGTAAATGAATTAGGCTCTACACTAAAAGGAAAGTTTGGTTACACAGGCCTGAAAGAAGGTGCGTAGATGAGGAATGGAATCAAGAATTTTACAGACTTGGTTTGTAAGAGAAAGTTTTCTTCATCCTTTTCCATTTCAGAATTAGAAACAACCCTATATGCCCATGTTATTTGCCATCAGATGCACAATCAAATAATGTTTCTATTCATGTAGATTTGAAAGGATCTTCATCCTGTGTGCGTTATTTTATTTTATAGTAGCCAAGGGAAAGCGGTTGCTGCCAATATGATGCTAAGGGCGTGCAGAATAAAGACTCAGTCCTGGGCAACTAAACAGTCCACCGTTGTGCTGCGCTTGTGGAAGAAAAAAGCAAACCCATCACAACTTTGGGACTTGATCAACAGTGGGGAGTCACAAAACTCTTCTCAATCTCTGCATTTTAAATCTCCACTAAAAATAGCTCCTCTGTAATGGGGCTTAAAGTCCCATCCATGCCCAGTGATGGAGTACAGTACTTAATTGTTTCTGACTAGGGTCTCTGCATCAGCACTCTGAGAGTGTCTTCTAACTTTTAATCGCCTTCTGTGCTCTTTAATTAGACCTGTTCACAAGACAGTCAAAAGAAAACGCCTATCACTAGGCTTATCCAAGACGTTGAAACAGACCATTTTAGGAGTCCAGGAACTTTTGTACAAGTCTTAGCATCTTTCAGGATTAATCTGTTTTCTCTGGTTTCCACTTCCTTAAATCAGGCACACTTGGGGGAAGGGAGAAGCTCTATGGCTATTAAGACAACTTCAATGTAAAGACACTGCCTGGTGGCAATTCCCTCCTTGTCTATCTCCGTTCTTTATTTTGTTCTTTTACCGCGTGTTATCTGTTGGCTACTAATAGGACCGGAGGGTAAAATGTCTTTTCTCTCCTTCTGAAGAGAAAGCTTTTGATCCCTCACTGAGAGCAATCGTAAGACTTTCTCCAGGGGCTGGGATAACTAGAAAAGGGCTCTGCTCTCTCAGAAGGATGTCAGAGCCCAAACCATACAGCGTCCCTCTTGCTTAGGCGGGAGATGCAAACAGCTGAAGTGCCTTAGCTCCCACTGGTGACCCACAGTAGGACCAACCTCGCCCCGGCAGCGCCCCTGGGCTCAGGTCACTCACGCTCCTGGACTCACCTGGTGCTGAGGACCAGCGCGGGCAGGAGAGGCAGCAGGTAGTGCGCTGGGCTGAATTTCATGCTGCTGCCTGCCGGGGTCCTCCTTCCCTCGCTGCCTTCGCTCTCTCTCCTCCTCGGGATCCTGTCGCTCCTCGGTGCCCGGCTCTGTCCCCAGCCAGTGATGAGCGCTCTTCGGCAGCGAAAAGGCGGAGACGGACACACGGACGACGCCTGGGGAAGGCAGGCGCTGGGAGCGAGGAGTATCTTCAGGAGTGATGTCACCGGCAAGGCGAGCCCTGCCCGGGATTGTTCGGCGTCGCCGCTCCGGAGCCCGGAGGGCGCGCTGTCACTCGCGCTGGAGGCGGCGCGGGGAGAGGGAGGGGGCGCCTCGCGATCGCCCCGCGCGCTTCGGTCACAGCGCTGCGCTCTGGCCAGTCGGGTGAGCACCGGCCAGGGGCGGATCATTTATTCCCGCTGCTCCCCAGGATGGCGCGGGGCGGGGCGCGGAGAGTAGAAACCAAATCTGCCAATAATTGAACTTGCCTACTCGGCAGGAGATGAGACCCAATTCACTGGGAGAGACTTCCAGACGCTTAGGGTCCTAGGCAGGTGTCTCTGGCCTGCTTAAACCGTGTTTGGAAGAATGTCGCTCTGGAGAGAGTGTTTAGAAGATTGTTCTAATTAGAACTGCATAATGATTTGCCTGAAACAGATGGAAGGAAGCGGGAATAAGCAGCGTCCAGAAATGCACCCTCAGCCCGTCATGGCATTGCAAGCTTCTTAACCCGTGAATGTTGACTGCAAAGAACCTAAGAACGTTTCGGGACCGTTAAGACAACTGCTGCTCTGGGTTTTGAAGATTTCTGATCTTCCTCTAATTTCAGTCGTCTGTACCAGCAACTGCCAAATGGGTTGGACCTAATGGCTCAAGTTCACACACCTGAAGGAGTCCTTTTCCTCAGGTGAAACTCATCAAGGAGACCTAGCGGACAAAAATCATTAAAATGTTAACAATAATCAACTCGGAATGATGGTTCTGGAAGGTAGAGGTTTTGTAGGTCATTTTGTTTTCTATATTTTTAAACGTTCTAGCATAAACATCCAATATTTAATAGGCTCTATTTAGAAAATTTAATTAGAATAATTAAATAGCACAATTCTAATCCAAAAAACCATTTTGCAAAAGCAATTCTGAGAAATAGAACTACTATCTCTGCTACTGAGATATTCAATTCTAGGATCTTTATAACATGATATTGCGTGTGTGTGTGTGTGTGTGTGTGTGAGAGAGAGAGAGAGAGAGAGAGAGAGAGAGAGAAAGAATGAGAATTCCATCGGGATATTATCCTGGTTATATAACTGTGTATAAAGCAATCTTCATACATTATTTAATTTAATCTTCACAAGAGCCATCCTAGTGAAATAGATGTTAATATCACTATTATAGATATGAGCAGACTGAATATCATCAAAATCTGACTCTATATATATAAAAACAAAAACAAAGAATTGGTTCTACTAAGTCCTAAGAAAAAATGCCTCAAACATCACACCTAGCACTCCTAGCCCGGTGTTTGACACAAAGTTGTGTTCAGTAAAAGGTGAGGTGCACCAAAGTCCCAAAAGATAATGGACAGCTGTGTCCAGGAATTCCTATCCAAAAGGTTCAGATCATGTTCCAATTATTTCAGGGGCAAGTTCTTTATAGAAAAATTTAGATGATACATCCTCTTCAATCTCATTTTCGAAGACATTTGTAGGAAAAATGCATTTGCTGTAAAGCTTTATTTTAAAGAGGATGCAAATCTAAAAGGTTAACCATCTAGTTTACTGTTTTTTTTTTTTTTTTTAAATGGGATTGAAGGTTAACACATGCATATAATATAGATTTGCTTCAAAATCTTGAGCTGCTAAACTAGATGAGTAATAAGTTTTGAAAAGTGAATATTAGCCCCTTGGGCAATAATAATAAGATCCACAACATTCTGGATCTTGTATATGCCTAATAAGTAGGCATATACAAATAAACTAACATGTGAATTGCATATCATTTACAAAGAAAAAAACGACACCACACTTTTCTAAAACAGAACTCTGATTCCAAGTAAAATATAAACTCTAGTTTGCTCCTGCCAGGGTTTTCTAACAATAGATTCCCTGCTCACTTTGAAGGAGGTTACTTGAGTTGTATACTCAACAAAGACATAAGGCTACTTGGTACTTTTTTTTTTAACTGTGTACAACAGGAAATAACACTCATATTTGTAGAACACATTTTTATATAACAACTTTGCACCATTATCTTATGTCCTAATCATAGAAACCAAACGTGGTAGTTATTTCTATTATTTTTATCTTTTCCAGTTAAGGTGATAGGTTCAGAGGGGTTAAGTAACTTGCTCAAGGTCACTCAGAGACTTATATAGTGGTGACGGCATTCAAATTCAGTCTACAGTACTTCAAAATGTATTCTTATTTGAGAAAAAAAAATATTATACACCTGTAAGAAAAAACTTTCCCCAACCTAAGTTTTATTACTTTCAACTAGACATATAGCATAAAACAATCAAATTACCTAATATCATTGAAAAAAATCAGAATGAACTTTCTTAAAAATCAGAATGAACTTTCTTTACACTGTATCTATATTGTATATCTGTAAAGAACCACAAAGTTTGTTGACCTTTGTGCATTTACTGCAAGCCACAAAGGAAAAAAAATCTCCCCAAAAGACATCTAACTTGGAAGGGCATGAGAGTAATATAGTAGGGAAGTACATCTTGAAAGGTGAGCATAACTGAGATTCTGGAAACTCCCACAGATTTAGAGAACTGAAGTATTATTTTGAATTCAAGTACAGATGTGTCTCTCAGCAGAAGTCTTTTCTTCTAGGAAAATTACACACTAGGAATCTCCATCACCCATGACATTCTGTCCACATTGTCACATAAAAGCTTAAATTCAGAATAAATTTTGTGGCTTTGGAGAATTGGTAAATGAATTTTAAAGATACAGCAGTACGGAGAGCTATTCTCTTTATCTTAAACTACTTGTCCTATGCTGAGCCCTAACACTGGAGTCAGCAAACATTGTTTGTAGTAACTGCACCCAAGTCTGATAAAGAATATCCAGAAAAGCCAAGCAGTTGTGCTGAGTCTCTATAAAGTGCTAGGATTAGGAGATATAGAAGCTATTTTAAAAACAGCTTCATTGATATTTAATTCAGGTACTAAAAACTTCACCATTTTAAAGTGTGTAATTTAGTGTTTTTATACACATCCACAGATTATGAAATCATCATCATTGTATAATTCCAGAACATTTTCATCATCCCCAGAAGAAATCCTGTACCTAAGAGTAATCACTCACTCGTCCCCACTTTATCCCTTCTCCTGACCCTCCGCAGACACCAATCTAATTTCTCTCTTTATGGATGGACCCAAATCTTGACATTTCATATAAATTAAATCATACTGTATCTGGTTTCATATGACTACTCTCTTTCACATTCATGTTTTAAAATTCATCTGTATTATAGCATATATCATTACTTCATTTCTTTTTATTGCTGAATAATATTCCATTGTATGGATATTCAACATTTTGTTTATCCATCCATCAGTTAATGTATATTATGGTTGTTTTCATACTTTTGCTATTATGAAAAACTCTGCTATGATCATTCACATAAAAGTTTCGTGTGAACATCTGTTTTCAATTCTCTTAGGTATATACCTAGAAGTAGAATTCCTGGATCATACAATAACTCTATGTTTAACATTTTGAGAAACTGCCAAACTCTTCTTCAAGATAGTTGCACCATTCTACATTTTCATTAGTAATATATGAAAGTATTGATTTCTTTACAACCTTAAGCTTGTTAGTTACAATTATTTATCTATCATTTTATTATTATAGTCATCTTAGCTGATATGAAGTCTTACTGTTTTTATTTGCATCTATCTGATAATCATGATCAACATATTTTCATGTGTGTACCAGCTATTCAAATACATTTTTGAAGATACATTTATTAAATTGTTTTTTTCAATTAATTTTTGAGTTTTATTTTTGTATAGTAAGAGTTCTGTCTATATAATGGGTATAAATCCCGCTTAGATATGTGATTTGCAAATGTTTCCTAATGCATGGATTGTCTTTTTACTTTCCTGTTGGTGTCATTTGCAACACAAATATTTTTAATTTTGATAAAAGTCAATTCACCTCCTTTTAATTTTAGGATTATGCTCCTGAGGTTGTATCCAAGACAGCTTTGCCTCACACTAGGTTATGAATATGTATGCCTTTGTTTTCTTCTAAGATTTTCACTGTTTTAGATCTTAAAGATAGGTCTGTGATCCAACTTTCTCATATTTGTGAAGGAGGGGCTCAGCTCCATTGTTTGCATGTGGGTATCAAGTTCTCCTAGCAATATTTGTTAGAAAGGTTATGTTTCCATAATTTAATGGCCCTCCTATTTCATTCCTCACACAGTAATACATTTTTTCTTATTTCTGTTTCTTTTCTGCCCTCATATGGTAAACTCTCATGTCCCCTAGAGTTTCATCCTTGATCCTCCTCTTTTAAAATTCTATATTTTCTTCCCAAGCTGAACTTATTATTTTTATGGTGTTTACAATCTTCAGTATGGTAGGAATCTTAAAATTTACCCCAGCCTAGACTTCCTCACTGAGACTTTACCTGAGTTCTATATGAATACCTCAAAGTCAAATTCAATCACACTGAACACTTCTTCATTCTTCCTCTGTCTGACCATTCTTCGGTATATCCCCTTATACTTCCATTAGCTCAGTCACAGAAGTTTAAACCTGACAGTTGTTTATTACTTTCACCTCCAGCTTCTCCCACATATAGTCAATCACCATGTCCTAGAGATTTTACTTACTAAGTATTTATTTATAACAATTGTCCCACCTCTATATGACACCTGTCACCTGGGCTTTAATTACAGGTAACCATCTCTTGATTCCGAGTGTACTTTTTACTTTAAGATGGATTTTCCTAAAAACCATCCCCCTTGTATAATCTATCTAAACTGCAAATATCTTTATAACCTTAAATCTCCTAGAAAATTACTCTCAAATAAGAAAACGAATACATGCCTCCTTTTTTCTCTGTTTAACTTTCATGTTGCACTGTAAACACATTAATGGAAGTTTCCCTTGGTGTGTCTTTATAATTTTTCATGTTATTCCTTCTTTATGAAGTGTTGTCTTACTCAATATAGTCAGATATTTACTTTAATCATTTAAGACTCATCAAGGACATCACTTCTTTCTAGAATGCTTTCTTGAGTCCATCTGCCACCACAAACTTGGTGAGATCTTTCTTTTCTGAATTTCATGACCTGTGGTGGATTGCCTTGAGTTGCACTGATAACATTATATTGCAAGTAAATTTTTATGTTTTCCACCACACTATAGATATTTTTTACTTTTCTTTGTGCTAAAGATAGTAAGGGTATTATATAAAATTATACTCTTATTTATATATTTCCTAGGATAATTATTAATTTTATTCAGATACCTATAGATCTAGGCATTAAAGAATAAGAACAGAAAAAGATAATTTATGTGATTTGTTAAAAATGTGTTTCCTTTTTCCATACTCACTGTTTGCTCATTGCTGGTTAAAACTATTTACAAGGCAGTTTCTTCTAATAAGGCCAATTATTCATTATTTAAAAGACAACTGCCTCCTAAAAGAAAAAAGATAAATATAGACTAATACTAGTAACTGTGCTTCATACGAAAGTAAAAAAATGTTAAAATACCTTCCAGGTTTTTTAATTTTTAATTTTTATTAATATATAATATCTGTACATATTTATGGGATAAATGTAATATTTTGATATAAGCATGTAATGTGTAATGACCAAAGCAGGATGATTGGGATGTCCATCACCTCAAACATTTATCATTTCTTCGTACTGGGAAGATTCCAGATCTTCTCTTCTGGCTATTTTGAAACATGAAATAAATTATTGTTAACTATAATTTCTCCAT